AGAGGAACAAGGGATGGAGGGAAGGGAGGGAGAAGATGGAAAGTGGATAAATAAACTTAAACAAAAAGTATGAAAATAGAGTGTTCCAAATGGAAGTGGACTAGGAGCTGAAGGAGCAAGGAGGATTGTAAAGGTAGGGGACAGAAAAAGAATTAAGATGTGGTGTGTTCACGTACCAAATTCCCACAATAAATGCAATCATGCATTGCAAACATGTCCTAATGAAACATCATTATTTGAAAAACAAGTTTAAAGCACAGTATTTGTAAAAGGAAGATGAACATGTCTACTTGGAAATTTTTTCATAATAATCAAATATTTTGAAAATAGTTTAAGGCAACCTGTAAATTATTGTTCACTTCTTCTATTTTTTCAGAACACAGACCTTGCACTTGCCAGGCAAGCGCTTATTCTACTGAGCCTTCACCCTGGCCCCAGCAACCTATAAATTATTGGGGATTAAATAGATTAATTCTAAAACTGTATTAATATGATCTAAAATACTATCTTACTGTCTGTATTCTCCAGTGAAATTTATAAAAAATAAGGAAAGAGAAAAAACAAATGCCTCAATGTGTATGGCTTATTTCATTGCTATTATGGAACTCAGACTAGTCTATTAAATTTGATTATACAATTAATTAAGTGAAAACATGACTACAAATCATTAAATTGGGAGTCATATTTCATATACCCGGAAATTAATTTTCTGACAGAATTTATTTCCTTCAGAATTGCTTAGACTTTTGAAAGTTCTAATACAATATAGTTTAAATAAAATATGTCTTAAAATTATTCTCTCCCTTATCCTCAAATGTTAGAATTGAAGTATAATTTTATTTTATTATTTATTTGTTTATTTACTTATTAATTTTGTATTCATTACAGGGTCTACAGAGTCTCACTGCATAGATCATACTCCTAGTGATTCTCCTGTTTTCAGCCTCCCAAACTCTGAGACTACTGATGAGCACCACCACAACCAGTCTCAATTGCCATCTAAACACGCCCTGGAGGCAAGGGCCAGCACAGGACAGAGGGGATTGAATACCGGCCGCTGCACTTTGCCTATGCAGGCGCTTTAGTCCCATGGGCTATCTGCCCAACTTTTTGAAGTAAAATTTTAACTTATATAACTTTAAATTTATTTTACTCTTAATTTTATAGCAAATACTTTTTTTCTATGTACCTTCTCAGCAATCTTTTACGCTTTGGGCTCACCATTTATTTAATGTTTTATATTTACATTTGAATATATATATATATATATATATATATATATATATATATATATATATCATATTTGCTTAATGAATTATTGACACAGATAGCTGTTTACATTATTGGGGGTTAGATCTCAATCTGCCTAGACCTTTGACTTAACATTATTCTGAGTGCGAGTGTTTCTATATGAAGCCCAACCACATTAAGAAGGGAATCTTTACTCAGTCTTAAAACTCACATGATTGGAATCCATAATTACACATTATTTTTAAATATAAAACTATTTAAATTATTACAGTAACAAGCAGAATTTCAAAAGAACTATTTTAATTAGACCTTACCTATTGTATTATATTCAAAATACATACTAATACAACTAAAGAAGAGACAATAAGGTAAAAAAAACACTATTGCATTTTTCTGCATGCAATGCTTTACCACTGAGATTCAGACACAAGATAAAGAAGATAACATTATTTTGATCAAGAAAAGTAACTTAAGTTGTGGATTAGAATGTGCTTTGTTTATAGGCATAAAGTACTTGAAAGGAAAAATATTTAAGATTTTATGTAACTGAATAAGAAGTCTTTGTGTTTGACTTTTGAGGTTGAAATCAAAATCAAATTATACACCTATTGTAAATATAGTTTATATGATATTAGTGTTTATGACAAAGGAATGAAAATAATACAATAATGTGGTATTCTTTAAGATGTCAGTTATTCTGACATAATGTTATTCTATGCATACTTATATAATTTCAGGAATACATTTGAAACTTCAAATCTTAAGCAATGAACTCACGTGAGAATAAGAAAAGAGAAATGTTAGCAAAATGCTACACGATTCAAATTTTATGAATTTGAAAATTCAAATTTAGGGGCCGGGGAGATGGCTCAGTGGAATAAGCACTTCCCTGGCAAGCACAAGTGCCTGAGTTCAATCCTCGGTTGCACCAAAAAAAAAAAAAAGAAAGAAAATTTATATAATATTTTAGGATAAAAGATGTTATTTCCAACTCTATCTAAAATAGAAATATTAATCTCCAAAAGATTTTTAAATCTAGCAGCTAATTGGAAAGATTCTCACCCTGACTAACTATGTATACTGATACCTGTGAAATAAGCAACTGCACTGAATATTGTAATCTGTAATAGCAGTTTCATGCTTGGAGTGCCTGTCATTCTGGTCTTCTGAGTATGGGCTGCTTGTCATGACATGCCAGTTGCTGCTGTGATGTCACTTGGGTAGATGATTGTTCAAGAAGAAGGGGGTACTGAATGAAGTCAAGAGATAGGGAAAGGAATATTGTGGTACTGTCCTTCTTCAAGGTTGTATACAGTTAGATTTTAGGACTTATGTGTAAACATAAGAAGTATATAATTCTTTATGCCTATTTTTTAAAATATATTCTAATTTTTAAATGTTTTTTCATCATATTCTATAGGGACTTAAAGTTCAACATATCAATACTTGATGAAAAATATCTCTTCCATGTTATGCCTAAGATGTTTGATATTCAGACAGATAGTGAAGCTAAGCTTAACAGATTAGGTTGTATGGTAATAAAAATAAGCTTGTCATCTAGATGACTAACAACCTAAGTTTGCAGACCAAAATTAGAGAAAAAAGAAGGCTGCAAGGAAAGCCAACATTTTGGCCCTAGCCTTCCAAGGTCACTTAAGACTCAGGACATATGAGAACTTGTACTGTAACGTCATGTAACTCGGTAGTATCCCAAATTTTCTGATCAAGGACATTATGGGGCCAAAGAGGAAAGTGATCAATGATGTAGAATGTGCCTAAGGAGAGTCACATAAAGAGAAAATTTTTTCTCAGCCTTTCCCAGAGAGCACATAGGCCAAGCAATTCCCGTGAATCATCCACATGGCTGACACTGACGAAGGTTCTACAATCTGAGGTACAGGATCTCAGGATAAATCCTGAGGGGATTTCACTGACCTTATCAGATACAAAAGGTACAACTCTTGTTGCATAGGTCCTGCTTTACCTTGGTCTTAACCATACAGCAGAAAAGTATAAAAATGAAGTATAAGAAGTAAAGCCATAGTGTTATGTTGAGCTGAAGGATACTCAGGTCAACAATTTCTGACATTGCCAGTCAAGCGGAAGACTCAACAGTATTATCACTACTGAATTCTTTTACAATATTTTGCTGAGTTTACACACCTATAATATTTAAATGATGGAACTTAACAAAAAAACGGGATACAAATGAATGTCCATTTTGTATCTGTGCATTCAAAGTGGTTAGGATAGATATATAGTTACATTCTCTTAATGAATAGAGGGATTTGTTCTAATGGTGTTTGTAAATAGGATATCAAGTCCGCATCTTGTACAACAATTAACCACTAGGAATAATGTGTGCAATGTGTTAATTATTGAAACTGTCCTACCATTTTGGTTTGAAACTGTCTCATTGCTATTTGTTTCCCAATAAAATTATGGAAAAAAATAAAAATATTTTTAAAAATCGAACCCTTAGTAATGGCTAAAATAGTAAATGTGCTTTGAAGGTTTTATCCAATTAAAGCAAAACACCACATGATAAATTAAATAAATAATTAAAATAGAAATACTTTCATTTATTGGTTTTAGTACAATTCTCTAGTGTTTTTTGCAGAAAATTTTGATTAGTTTTTTTCTTCATTCATTTTTTTAAATAAATTAAGTGTAGTGGTACAACTTAGATGTATGTAATGGTTGCATTCAAAATAGGGATTGTGTATCTATACATTATATATCCTAATTCTACTTTTTTATCTCAATCTCTTTTATCCTTGTTTACAAAAGCTTCAGTTCTGTTTTATTCTCTTTCCTCATTTTGTTATTATTTTATTTTTTCCATTTTCCCTTCCCCTCTCTAGTTGTCCTTCCCATTTAAATATTTTCTTCATATTTCACAATATCTGTTATATATTTTGGTCCTTGTACACACTTTCAGTTTCTCAAAACAGAGAAACAATGAAATATTTATAAATGTGTTTCCAGTTTATTTCACTTAAGAGTATGGTCCACCTTGGATGTAGCTCAGTGACACAGTACCTGTCTGGCAAATACAAAGTCCTGTGTTTCATTACTGGTATCAAATACAAAAAAAAAGTATGGTCTCTAGATCCATCCATTTACATATAAATGTGTCAATAGCTGGGGAGATATCTCAGTGGACTACACACCTGGGACTAAGGTTTGATGCTAGCACCACATGCTGCACAGGCCCCATCCTTGGAAAAGGTAAGGAAGCCCCCGAAATGGGGTGTGGTGGTGCATGCCTATAATTTCAGCACTGGGGTAGCTGAAAAGAGGAGGATCACTATGAGTCCAAGCTGCATATTGAGCCTCTGACTGTACCAAATACATGAAAATGAATGTGCCCAATTTGTCCTTCTTTATGACTGTATTCAGAAAACTACATCCTCTTTGTCCAGTAATCAGTTGCTGGGCATTTAGGCTATTTCCAAGACTTAAGTATTACACACTGTGCTGCTATTAACATGAATGTGCATATATCACTATGGTATAATGCTTTTAGTTCTTTAAGAAAATACAAAGAAAGAGCTGGGGAGATAGCTCAGCAATCTAAGCACCTGCTTTGCAAGCACAAGGACCCAGGTTCCTTGCTGTATGCAATGCCAGCCCTCGAACCCTGGCAAGGTGTGTTGGCCACTGAAACTTGATATGGTGGTGCATGCCTGTAATCTTAGTGCTGACGAGGCTGAGACAGGAGAATCATTGAGTCTGAGCTGCATAGTGAGACCCTGTACCAAATAAGTAACAAGTAAATAGATTAAATAAATAAATAGAGGATGCAAAGAATGGTTATAGCTGGCTCAAATCAAACTATTCTTTCTGAAGTAAGATGAAATGTCAGCACTGCTTTAATTTACATCTTTTGAATGACAAGTGGTGTTGAGTATTTTTTTCATGTATTTCTTTGCCATTTGTACTACTTCATCTAAGAAATATGTATTCATCTCAGATGTCTATTTTTAAACAGGGATTTTAAATTTAGGGAGCTGTGCTTTTCAGTTCTTTGTATGTTCTGGATATCTGAAGCCAAACCTTTTGCTAAAAATTTTTATCTTTAAATTATGTGTCTCAGAAAGATTAGTCTCGGGGCCTGGTAGATGGCTCAGTGGAATAAGTGATTTCCTGGCAAGAGCAAGGGCCTGTGTTCAATCCTCGGTTCAGCAAGAAAAAAAAAATTTAAAAAAAAGAAAGATTAGTATCGTTTCTTTGACTGGTTCAGAGGTTTTTTTTTAAGTATTTTTTAAGTTTTAAGTATTTTTAAGTTTTTTAAGTTCTTTTAAGTTTTTTTTAAGTATTTTTCTTTGCATTTATTAGGGAGAATTTACTTTTTGTCATCTATTCAGTTTACCTTGTTTCTTGCAGATCATTTTCTGTGATTGTCACCTGACTGAATAAAGGTCTATTTACCATACTCCAATTTTAAATAACTGTCAAACATTGACATATTCAGTTAATGCAGCAGAAATACTACTAATGTTGAGAAAAACTTCAACATAGTGTAAATTGAAAGAATGGGTTGCAAAAAAAAGTTAATCAAAATGAATACAATTTCCTGAGTTACATAGTTATCCAATTCTTAAGTTCTTACAACTAATATTGATGCATTAATATTAATTATTTCCTTACTGCATCAGGTTCAACTTTCTATAGAAAGCAATAAATTGTACAGTTTTATAAACTAAATATCTAATTATGCTAAAACAACAAAGAACTAATATTTTCTTAGTACTTTAGATCCAATTTGACCTGTACTCTATTTTTAAGTATTTAGTACAAGGTCTACAGAGTGTCACTACACAGATTGGACTTGGAGTGACCCTCCTGTTTTCAGCCTCCCAAACACAGGGATTACAGGTGCATGACACCACGCCCAGTCTCAATCATGTTCTCAGCATGCCTAGGAGGTGGCGTCAGCACAGCATGCCCAGGATCAAACCTTGATCCCTGAATCTGCCTAA